TTTTAACAAGTCATCATGAAGGACAATTTAGTTTAAATGGAAAAGCCACGCCTTTTTCATAAAACATATAGGAAGGAGAGGGGAACTCTATATGGAATGGTGGAGATGGAATGCTTGCAAAAATTTATTATGAGCTTAATCTTATGTATTTTTTACGTTATTTCACAGTAAATATGAACGGTTTTATATTTTACCTTACCTTTTGTCATCACTTTCACAGCCTTTTTGAATACTCCAGTCTCCTCTTCCAAAATTGCTGTGTAAGGTGTGTTCAGAAAAGTGAACTCCTCTTTATCCTAAAAACTGTTTCTCTCGAGTAGATAGAAGGATCACTTCGTCCAAAACAACATACTGGATTTGTGAAACTAAGCGTTGTGTATTGCTGTGAGCCCTGATACGTGGCGATGAGAAGTAATGTAAATGCTTCTGGTGTAGTGCATTCAACTTTGCATGGATTCAAAGTCAAATAAACCAGCGGGCCTTGATTAGTAACTGTGAATCGTTCTGATATGGGACCAATTAGGGTAAACTTTGTTCCCGAGGGTGGATCGGCTTCAAGCTGGAAAAGCAAAGCTATTCTCTGCCTATATAGCTCAGATTTTATGGGCGCATACCTTCAAAATTGCAATTTCTTCTTCTTTGAAGTTGTGCTCGAGGATGAGCACATAATTTTCCTTCTCAAATGGTGGTACATTCCCTTCGGTAACGGGACCGTCCGGTTTCACATCAATGGAAATCTCATGTGATCTGCCCGAGATTAATCCCAGAGCTTTTAGCTGAAATAGGTTGGGCTCAGGTAAGGAAAGTGCAGAGCACAGGAAAGCGAACATTTGGTAAGCTACTCGAATTTCTAGTATTAAATTAAGAAGTATCATTTGCGCGTTTGAGCCGTTTAAGTTTTACCGACATTTTTGGTCAGTTTTTGTATAGAAAATAGACTACCAAACAGAAAAATATTTTCATACAAAATAATCAGTTGCCAAAAACGTATTAATTGAGATTCTAAGTATAAGAATTTTGAGTATAAGGATTTTGAGTACGATAGTTTCCTTACCTTCAACTTTTCACCTCCTCTGCTGCGTATCTTTTGAGGATCAACCACAAGAAGATGTATTGGAGCACCTGGGCCAACTATGGTTGGTGAGGCGGCGACCGTTTCCGATGGTGGTTCAATAGAGATTGCGACGTCTTCATTAACCTGGACATTCAAAAAGATAGTATATTTGCGGGAAATCTTTTCTTCAAATGGTGTAATTGCACACCACATATCAAATCTAAACATAAAGAATTGACTTAAATGAACACATAGGCTTAGCCGATAATTCATGCGATAAACATCGATTTATTTTGCATGTTTCTTTAGATACATCATCCGCGCTATGAAATTAACATCCCATACTTCAAAAAGAGCCTTCTTGAGTAATCGCATGTATTTTAACTCCTAAAATTTTTCAGGTGTCAGTTAACATTGTAAAATTTTGTTATTACTGGAAATCAGAAACTTTAAATACAGAATTAATCTTATTTGCCTGCTAATATAAAAATGACTTTTATGTATATGGTTTAAAATTTTCTCCAAAAAAGTAATTTTCGTTTAAATTAACCTTGAAATTAAGCATAGGTGAAGTTAAACAAAAAAAGTTACGTCAAAGACTTCTTTCCCCTTCGAAAACTCACCTTGTTCTCCGCAATAAGTCCTTTTTCGCCTACTTCTTTTCAATTCGATCATTTCTAATTTTTGAGGAAACACAAAAGAACCAAATTCAATGATGCAGTTTTCTATGAAGGAATCGAGACCGCCCTTTTCCTCAAGGACAATGAGTAATTACAAATGTTGCAAAAAAATTGATCCTGTTGACAGTTAATAAATTATTTTTGACATGACCAATAGATTCAGGCTAGTGGGCCATTCGGGCACGCTGAAGTAGTCCCTTTTCAAATCTATGAACAAGCAAACACTGAATAGAATACGTTAAAATATACATAAGAGCCTGCTATTCTAAAAAACATCATGCAAAAGTTAAATTCACTTTTTTGATGTCTCCTATACATTTTCCTATAAATATAATTAACTTTTTTTAAAAAGAAAACCCTTCTTAGGAGAAAAAAAGTACTCTACAAAACTTGTCCCACACAGTACCTCTTCTTTAGCAATCACCGTACTTTCATAGCAAATTATTAATTTTATAATTATTAAATTGTTAGACATTGAAGTCAGTGGGATATATTTAGAAAAACATAAACATTAATTACAAAAATATGTGTCGAGTATTATCTTCAAATTCTTTCATTTTTCCTTATTTCTTTTCCTCTTCAACTTTACAGTGTAGTTATTGTAACACCACAGTAAATTGAAGTGGAGAACATTTAAATAATTATGTGTGGCAATAAATACACTCTTCACATTTGTAGGATAGCACTGTGCACATGCCTTAATCACCTTTAAAAATATCTGCGTGGACCTCTAATGTCTAAAGATTAGTAGAGGTTTTTTTAAGAATATTTTTCAAGATACTACTTTAAACTCTTCAACAGGAGCATATTATACTCCTTTTATAATGGACCCAACAATCTTATGTGGTCGAATAGGTTTTTATATTCCGAGCAGTGCAAAGAGGGGCGATATGAATTTCTATCAAAGGGAAAATTGTGCCAAGGACAGGGACAGGAAGTTCGCGTACAAGGTGAAAAAGACTTTTTCAAATGCTGGAATGTAGAAGTGTGTCAAAACAAACCTCTAAAACGGTTAACGGCTGATCTGCAAGAAGTTCGTCGTGCCTTTCTGCATTAGGGGGCACATAGAGTGTAGTGACTGGTGCATTAATGAACTCTGTAAAGAT